ATGAAATACTTCTATGCAACAAATTCCATTCACTCACCAAACTGTCTACTTATATCATAAACCTCTACATAAATATCTTCATAATTACAGTACAAAATATTTCAAAAAGTTACGTACACAACAAACCATATTTCCTTTAATATCACATGTACATGATATCACACCTTTCCTAACTGTTAAGTGAACATAACAAAAAAGGTCTATGATGATGCATACAACTAACTCTAACTTTAAATGTTTTTCTTTATGCTCAATACACATAACAACACTCCACGCAACCTCCACCCACAAACTATGGGATTAAACTGTCTTTAATCGCATCGCGTGGTCCACTCGTATACGCGTTGCTTTATTTTGCGAGGCTCCCTAACTAAAACAATGCTAGTCCAAAGTATTACTAGCCTTGAACCGAAGTTTAGCATTCGGGGGTGGCGCCCGCAGGGGCCAACGGCTGCCCCCTCCCCCCCACCGTTGGGGAGAAAAACCACAATTCGTCGGGGAGAAAAAAAAATTTTATGCTATTTTCTACATAGACACTAAAATCGATTAAATAAGCCTTTGAAACCCCTCATTTATTCAAAATTTTCGTTGGCTTTGCCCCCTGGACCAGTTCCGGAACATTTTAAGCGACGCTCAACCATGCCCATTTTGCTGTCGTTGGAGAAATCTGCCTCCTCGTTGGGGAATCGCTCCCCCTCCCCACTCCCTTCAGGGACCTCGGACCCCCAGTAGGGCAAATCATGTCGCCACCCAATATTTAGCATTCGCTTTGGTAGTTGTTTTGCTGGATTAGGCCTAGGCCCTATTTGTATATCTGTGTACAACGGAGACAGACAAAAGAAGTAGTGTATGATGTACAAGAAAAAACAATTAATAAAAAATGAAGACCCACCAAACAGCGTTACCCAAGCTACAGCAATATACAAGTTAGTTATAGACTATTTGCAATATTACATAATCTTTTATCAAGATGATGTTAGTTTTATTTTAAATATGTTGAGTGATGTTGATTGTTTTATGTATGATGGTAGTGTGTTCCATTGTTTGATTGCTGTATAATAAAATGTCGTATTGTTGGGATGTTTAACATGAGGGATGTGAAAGTTTAACGAGCTACCTCTAGTAAAATGATTACCTGTATGTAAAATATGGAGTCGTGTGAAATGGTTTTGTAATTATTGTGGGCTAAGTTGATGAAAGATTCTGTAAACGTGACACAATTTAAAGAATTCAAATCTATCAGAAATGCTCAGTAAATTGAGACCAGAGAGTTGAAAATGACCAACATGTGTCCTGGCACCAAGTCCCAAGATTAAACGGATGGCTTTATTTTGTGTTATTTGAAGTTTCTTAGTGAGCATTTTGTTTGAACGACCAGGAAGAAGCATAGTCAATACAAGGTTGAATTAGAGAAGAATACAATATTTTGATAGAATGAGTTGTTAGAAGATGAGAAATGCCGTTTAATGAATTTCTATCAATCCTGGGACTGTGGTTGTTGGTATGATTTGAACTGCAGAGTGGAAACACATTCTTCTTAGGTCAATATCAAAATGAGGATATTTGGACAGATGAGAGCTCCGATCCCTGGACAGACAGTACATTTTCAACTTTGCTCTTTTTACATATTTGTCTATGCTAGTCCTACTCCTCTTTTTCTTTTTCCGACCTTTAGCACATTCTCATCTGAGTTTTCAAGAATAAATACAATGCTCCTGCCATCCTGCTAATCTAAATCGGCCGATGGCCAACAACCTAATCACTACCTACCACCACTAATTGCATCTGCTATTTTGCTGTTATGTAAATATACACGCATTCTTGTCATGAACCAATTTCTCTGGACGATATCCTTTCTTTTTTTCATTCAAAATGTGCCTCTTGAATTTAATAATTTCCCATAAGAACCCCTCGATTTTCGTCTATTTCCATAAGCGCCCTCTCAATTTCCACTCTGTTTTCATAAGCGTTGTAATCGTAAATTTAGGGCAAATACAATTACAACATAATTCAATTACAAATATAATTTGCTTTTTTAAATAAAAAACCTCAACTGAAGACAAAAACCGTGAATTCAGAATGAAACGTGTGCATCAATAGTTTTAAAATGAAGTCCTAAGTGCTTGTTAGCGACCATGTAGTAGTCAGATTTGCCAAGACTGTGATTCAAACATGGAATATTATCAAAAGTACCAAAAACAATTCAGAACTTTAGTGCAAAGAGCATGTTTGCATTTAAAACAAATGAAAGTACTATTTCACTTACAAATACAAGAATAGTGCGATGATGAATTCGCCCTTGTTATAGTTTGCACTAAATACATCCGCTCGAACTGGCATCCGCTCGAACTGGCATTCGCTTGAATTGACTAGCATTCATGACCATGTTGCATCAATAAGTCAATTGTTCCATTTAATTTGATTTTATATGGTGCCATTCTACCAGTTGTTGCTTGTGGCGCCGTTCTGAAAAAAGACAGATTAGGCCTAACTAAAGTATTTTAATTGCATGAGTGATACCCCTAATTAAAGCTTGAAACAGTGGGGTACTTTTTCATAATAAAGTTACAGTAGAACCCCTCCTTTGGGACATCCCTATTCAGTGGACTCCCCTATTAAGGGGACACTTTTCCGTGAAACAAAGGGCAATATGTTATATATTTTAACACTACGTCCAACCCCTAAGGGGACACTTAATTTTTTTATCATTGTATCACAACAACTACAACAATCTCAAAGTAAGAAAAATTCATTCAACTTCATATTTTAACACCTTTTGAGCAATAAACCAGAATTTTCTCAACTGAATCCTTAGTTAGAGTAAACGTCGGTATAGGCCTACTGAATGTTTTACTTCATATAAACCAATTTTGACCCTTATAACCATAGGGCTTTCGTTTCCCTTGTTTTTCGTGTACTTTCATATAAGATTCTAATAATACCACATCCACCTTTAATTCTAAGTCGTTACTCTATTCATACTACATTCTTCCAATATTAAACTCAAAATTTTACATAAAAAAAGGAATATTTGGTCATTAACATTGGGAACATTTTATTATTAATATTTTATTATTTATATCATTTATACAGTGCCTTTTCTGTGTAGATAAAAACGCTTCTTTTTCCTTGTCATTGGGTTCTCATGTTTTAAGTGTTGCTGCTGGTAAACATCGCAGGAGTTGGCTGGGCAACCCCACCAGGTACCCATTTATACTTCTCGGTGGAGAGAACCCATGCAGTGATGGTTTGATAAAATTGGTAAGGTATAACATGTACCATACAGGCCTGTATGGTCTAGCTACTGCACCAAAAACTGCTTCTACAGCAAAGAAAACTATTATTTGTTTTAATTACATTTGTGCTGATTTCATATAAATGAATTGTATTTGCATTGCAAATCATTGCTATAAATTAGTTCTAATTATACTTAGTTGATTCTTATGTCAATAAAAATAAAATTATACAGAATGTATGTAATCGTTGTATGAAAACATGCCACAAAAACCCCTATTAAGGGGACAATTTTGCATTTTTGGTTAGTGTCTCCTGAATAGGAGTACCCCTATTCGGGGGACACCCTATTCGGGGAACACCCTCTATTCAGGGGACACCCTCTATTCAGGGGACACCCCTATTAAGGAGACACTTTTTTTGGTCCCGAATGTGTCCCCTTAATAGGTATTTTACTGTATTTCCATTGCAACTTTATTGTATATTCAGTTACTGTTTTACAAAATAAAATATTACTTGACTAACTAACTCAAATTTGTTTGAAAAATTACTAGGAAATTAAGTGTGCAGAATCATGCCTAGGATATAGGTAGTCTGCATTTTACATTGATTATATATTAAAGCCTAATCATCATCAAGATCTGTGTGGAAATGGGCAGTTCCAAGCATTTCATAATGACATTTTCAAAGCCTTTTCAAGTTTTATTCAAGTTTTTTATTTTGCCCGCCGCCTGTAGAATTTCACCATTTAATTTAATTTAATTTCTTTGTCTCAAACATTAAATCTTAAAAAAACATAAAAGCAAAGAACAAGCACAAAAGACCGCAAAAGTAAACTTAATCACTGTCGAGTGGAGGCCCTTTGACAAAAAAACAAAAGCATTCAACGTAAAATTGTTCAAATAGATTAAACAACGAAAGTTGAAGAATGAAAAAAAATTCAAAACAAGCACAATTTAAAAGGCATTTCTTACCGGTAAATAAAATCAGTGTTGAAGTGTGAAAACATTTTGAGCAACCTAGTAAAAATGTAAGTAAAGAATTCATAAAATAATTCATAAAATTTCATTAAAAAAATATGAAAATATAAAAATTGATGCATTGCACTTTAATAACAGATTTTAGAAGTGTTTAAATGCAATTTTAAAAAGAATGAGATTTAAAGTATAAAATGTGTTGTTAAAATTAGGAATGTATTTTTATTACAGTACAATTAAAAAAATAAAGCATGGTGCTTGCGCTATTTTGTCTGCCTCTCTTTAATTAATTCCTAAACTTATATTCGCAAATAAAATTTTATTTTTAGGTTCTTTTGGCAGGATAATTTTGCTAAATTTATTTTTTTTTTCAGAAATTAGTTGTGCTAAACAAGGTACCTGTAACTTAATTATTTAAAAAGTATTGCATTCGCTGACTTACAATTTATTTAAAAAAAAAATCAAATACTTTAATGGCTTTGAATTTGGCATGTAGTGATGAAAAATTGTTCTTTAATTGAAAAGGGGATTCCCGGGATGTACGGTACAGTAAGCCCACACCAAAATTGGCCCAATTTTGTGAACAAGAGGCTGTGGGCTGATACAGTTACCAGAAGAAAACAGTAACAGGCCTACAATTTCCTATCTCTTGCATAGGCCTAGCCCGTTAAAGGATGGTAGTCAATTAAAAAATTCAAAAACAATTTGTATATGGGAAAACTTTCTTTGTCTATGTTTCAGTGAAAATTTATAACTTACCCATATTTTAAAGTTTTAAAACATTTTTTAGAGATATTTTTCAGATTTTATCACAGACTGTATTTCCAGTATCTCGTCAGAGACCATGACATTGAGTTGACTAAAACTCATTAGGTGTCTGCTGAAGTCCATTGAAACTATTCTAGAATATGACAACTTAAAGCTGACTTGTAAACCCATAGAATATCGTTCTATAATGCTAAGTATTACGGAATGACACATTTTATTAAGTCATTAATAAAAGCTAAACATTAAATTTAAACTAAAAAAATATGTGTATTTACCGGTAGTAGGTATAGATCTCTTTATTTGCAAACAAAAACTTTTTCACATGAATGCTCAGTTTTAATTAGTTAATATCTTAATAAAACTTTACGGAATGACAATTGATTATATAGAAATATAACAAAAGGCCGCTGAAGCATAACAAAGTATGCTATGGTGATATACAGTATCACTTGCAGCATAAGCAACCAATTGCCATATTTTGCACACACAGGACAAATAATAACTAGGTTTGAACTCGACACTGAGGACGAGTTAGGTGATCCGCCGTACTTTGACCCTAACGAAGCACGCGCGTTTCTGATTGAAAAGTATTATATGCTAAAACATGCTCTATTTAAAGAGTAATTTTGAGCGTTTTAAAAGAAATTTTAAAGGAAAAGAGTAATTTTAAGCATTTTAAGGACTTACGAATGTGTACACATACGTATTAACGTTCGTGCGCATGGTAGTATTAATAC